ACGGAGCTTCCTGAGGGAGTCCCCGAGGCATTGGATTAGATGATCGATTTGATTGGATTGACGTTTTTTGCTGTAGCAGGTCGCCATGGAGAAACACTAATATTACTTTGTTTCAGAGACAATATTTGCAGTTCATGTAGAAATAGATAACATGATATGGGACAGTTTAATATGAAAAAGCTGACTGCTAAATTGTCACCTACAGGGTATTATTTCTGTGCGTATAATGGACACCTTCATCCATTACTGCCTTGGAATTTTCTAGGTCCACACCACTAAGTAAAGATTTATTTCACTCTGAATTCACCAGATCTGACCAAGCGTGATGCTGCATTCACAGACAGACAGACACACGCACAAACCCTTTAACACATTTTGTTATGGTACTTTCCGAGTGTCTGCCACCCCCCCCCCCCCCCCCCCCCCTTCCCCACCTCCTCGGTCTGCACACTTCCGGCATACGGCCCCCACGCTGTGTCAGCGTTCAGACGGTGGGATGCTACCACCTTGATGGATCCATCCACGTTGGCCAGGCGGAGGTCGTCTGTGAGGACAGGTGAGGAGAAACCCAAGTGAGAGACTGGGACTCGACCAAAAGTCAATGCGGCACCCACACAAGGCAAGAGACAGGCTCACATCCCCCCCCCCCATCCATCAGCCTTGGGCCTCCCAAACGCTTCTCCAGCACATCAGACAGCTGGGACCGTATTGGGAGAGGGGTCCACACAAATATAAACAGTCAGGGAGTAGTTCAAAGAATGCTGATGGTGAAATCCCAGACTCTGAGGAAACTGGAGTCACGACCCAAACACCCACCGAAGTTTTAGGCTGGTGTTTCACTGGCCCTGGCAAAGGCGTTGAATAAAATCGACACGCTGAAAGTCTAACCAGCAGCCCTCAGAGCACAGAGTAGCTGCCCCGCCAGCCCCCCCACTTCCCGTAGCTAGGGCAGGCTTACACTTATTTCTCCACTAGAGGGAGCTTAATCTTTGCAAAACATCGATACTGGAGAAAGGTCAAAGATCTCATATATTTACCCTTTCTAACAGGGTTTCTCATCATATTAAAACCTTCAGTATATGTAACCCATGGGTCTGTCGTCATGGAGATCTCCTTCCCCAACATATATGCGACAAAACTTGGATCCACCCTGGTCCATGATGTTGACACTGATGGGCCGAACCACGGCAGAATCACAGGGGACATTCTCATAGACCCCGAATGAAAATGAACACGGACAAATCCCAAGCCTCAAACCTTTACTCAGTGAGTCTAACATAAGAGACCAAAATTCAGGGCTGACATTCAGTCTCTGCCAGAAGCCCCTACTACCGCCCCCCCATATCTCCCCCGTGACCCCACACCCCTCCTCACCCCCTCTGCCTCAGCCTCTCTCACAGGAGGAGGGTTAAAGTGTCCCACTGATAAGAGTGTTTGTCTAACACTCTCTATGTCAAAACACTCATCTATCTTCTGTGTATCTATCCCCACCAGAGAACAACAGACTGGGACTGATAAACTGGCTTTCCCACAGCCAAGACTGAGAGAGATAGAGGGACACAGGGGGGGGGGGGGGGCAAGGGGAAAAAAGGCAGAATTAGTGAAGGGGAGAGGGGGCAGAGAGAAAAGGACAGGATGGGAGAAAAGGTGTAAAAGAAGCTGGGAAGTATGGCAGAGAGCCTCCATGTCAGAGGGGGGGTTACCCTCCCCCCTCCAAGCCAAACACGGCTAATTCCGCTCCAGCCCAACGTCTTGGGGGCCCGATACCACGGTGACACAGGAAAGAACAAGCCGTCTCCCCCCCCCTCGGCACGCTGCTATCAGAGACGCACACGCCATCGTCCACATTCATTAACGTCGGGGGGGCTGCCGTCGGCCACAGCGCCATTTCGGGGACCCCGCCAGCTAGAGGCCCCCTCCCATCAGGCAGCGTCAAATCGGGGAAATTCAGATTGCAGCCACTCGGCTGAGCGGTGAGAGGAGCAGCTAAAAACAGCTGAGCGGGAGAGAAGATCTCCTTCCTCCTCCATTACCAGGAGGGACTGACTGAGGCTCGGAGCTGACGAACAAGGGAGCATTTTTAAAATAAAAAAATAAATAAATTGAAACCTATTTAGACCAAGACAACAGCACAACCAGTTTCAGCAACGGCATCACAGCTCAGCTATAAATTTGTGCATTTCAGCTACAGACAGTGACCCTATTATACAGAAAAAATACCAGCACGATGGCAACATTTTTCCCAGCCACATTATTTTGGGATTGTAAAATATTTCTACATAAATTTGATCTGCAAATTCACTAATGCTTTTTCTGTCCTACCCAAAAACTGATGTCAGCTTAAGATAACACGCCACAGTCTTCTTTGCCATCTTAATCACATTTTCTCATGATTTCCCAATGTTTTCCATTTTTTCCCCAAAGAATTGCACAAGTACAAGTTCATGCGATGTGGAGTGGCCACCCGATAAACACAGCAGCACGCGCAAGCTGTCGGAGAGCGAGGCAGAATCCCGGGATCGCCGATACGGCGTCCTGGTGGGTTTGAGTCAGACCCAGAGGCTGTGTTAGCAAGCGAATGCGTGGTGTTCAGTAGCCAAGGTGGGAAAACCAGCCAGATATTTTCATTTCCTTTTTATTTAGCAGAAGCTTTTAGCTAAACAGACACGTAAAAATGAAGGATCAGTCAGTCCCTGGGACAGTTGTGGATTAAGGGCCTTGCTCAAGGGCCCAAGAGAAAACAGTGATATCACTCTGCTGACGAGGGGATTTGAACCAGCGACCCTCCAACTAGGGATGAAATGGTTCTGGTTTCATGGTAAATCACGGAAAAATTCCTGATGGCTAGTATTACCTTTTCAAATTTTAATGATTATTAAAACCATGGTTGAATACTGCACTTTGAAATACTCAAGTTAAAGGGGCCCTATTATGCTTTGCCCATTTTCCCCTTTCCTTTAGTGTTTTAAATAGCTTTATGTGCATGTAAACAGTCTGCAAAGTCTTAAGGCCCAAAGTCCACACCAAAGGGAGTAACTCTCACCACAGAAACCTCTCTTATCGATCTGAAATGCCTCGTTGGAATTCTAGGCTTTTATTCTGTGACACAGTGAGGTCACCTCGTAACACAATCCTTATTGGCTGCCTGCCTGCAAGGATCTGTCTGCAGCCTGCAAGACAGGGTGTAATGTGTAGGGCTAGCTGACCAATCAGAATACACCGGACTTATTGGGGGTGGCACTTGAACAGAGATGTACAGTATGAGAAAATTGTGTTTGCAAAACATCGAAGCATGTAAATCTATTCTAGTAAACCCTAGAAATAAAAGTATGAACAGAGAAAATGAGCATAATAGGGCCCTTTTAAATATTGACCAGCATCAAACAAAGTTCCCAGGTACGCAGTCACAGAATGCAATGTGCTCATTGGCAATTACAGCACTCCGGAGATTTTCAATGTCGATGAACGTTTGATATAGTTTTCAAATGTTTACGTAAACTATTAGCTATGCAATTATTTTAATGTTTATGCAAACAATAAAGTGCGTAGTGCTGCTAATTCCGTTTGTGGTTTCCAAAGCAAACCTTGGCGAAATGATTTCAAGTTCTGTATCAGTACTTTTTGAACATTTTCGTCACATTTTATCAGTACCGTGATAATACTGAAAACCATAATTATTTTGGTCACTGTAATCATACATATTCATACCATCTCTACTTCCAAGCACAGGTACGGTCTCCAGCGCGCTGAACCACACGCCGTCCCCACTTCATAACTACGAATGAATAGCAGTGATTAACCGTCATAGCTTTCACCATTTAGATTCCTTCTCCACAAAATGCAGAGAGCACAGCGATATGAAGTGGAGTTTCTGCCTGGTGAAGTTTACAAGTTTTTTAATTCCAGAAAGGTCCGGCTGTTAATCACCCGAGTCACTTCCATATTACTCTGGTCAAAGTCTGTGGTCCAGGTCGTCTAATGACACAAGACTGTGGCCACCTGGAAACAGCTAGGAGATACTAGTCCAACCTACTAAACTAGTCTAGTTGACAATACCAAGTGAAGGGAGAGACTTGACATGGTCAAACAGCAAGTGGCCAGGTGGGTTACTGCCGTGACTTAGAAAGCAAAGCAGTTTAGTTCACATTACTGACTGCGTGAGCCTAACCTAGACTAAAGATTCATTCATGATGCTGGTTTTAACCTCAAACTCCACAAAATATGACGTATGATATTTCATCGGATTAAAAAACTGTGGAGAACAGAGATCGACAATTCCATTTAGGCAAATGTAGCTCTTGGTGCGGTCAGCCACAACAAGCGTGTATCAACGTACGCAGACAAATGTAAGGACATCAAAGCAAAAACCGCCTTTTCATCGAAGGTACTGATAAAATTCTGAGCAATTCGGAATGGAGCGAAATCTGGGAGAACATTTTTACCTGGGATATTTCAACAGTAAATAAGGCAAAGGTGGCTTATTAAATGAAAGAATAGCACAGAAAGCGCCACCTATGGGTCAGGAGAGCTAAACACAAATCTGACACTTAATCTGACCATTAACTCCCAGCAGTACAAACATGAGAGCAACTACACCAGGCCAATTGGTTAGATCACTAACTGAAGTAGCTGCAGACCATTATCACGTCCATCTGGTCCAAATACGAAAACATCTTGGGAGTGAACTGGTTGCCCTCCTATAAACTTGGAAACCCTTAATCTAATCAAGCCATCGGTGGCCTGTCTGCAACCATTCGCTGGTGTCAGTCACCTGACCCTATTATCAAAGGGACCCTTTATCTCCAGCATCATTAACCAAATTGTAAATGCACCAAGGTGTTCACTTTCACGCGGTAGTCACGGTACTCCCATGCACAAACACACAAAACATGGATGCAGACTTTAGGAGACTTGCATACAGATGTAGGAGAAGAGGATCAGAGGGACGGCAAGACTGTTACTATTTCAACTGTACAGCAGTTTTTATTTTTCTCCACTTTCAATCTCAGTTCAATCTTTGAATATTCCCACAAAAACAAGGCTACTGTAACTACGCCCATCCAGCAAGTTACATGACATCTTCACGAACGAACTGACTGAGGGTGTTTGGCCAGAACCACTGGCATGATGAAAATAATTATCAGTGACAATTATCCATTAGTAGCAGCAGGGGGCGCTGTGTGGCTCAGTGGGTTAGGATGCTGGATGGGTGGGTTAGGATGCCTGTGGTTGGGTGGTCAAGCTGTTCAAATCCCATGGTCAACAGAGAGCATCAGTGTTGGGCCCCCGAGCGCGGTGCTTAATGCCCAATTGGTCCAGGGACTGTCTGACTCTGTTTTCTCAGTTGTATGTCACTCTGGATAAAAGTCTCCATTACATACGTGCACCTCTAATCCGAACCGATCTCCACAAAGGTTCCCCCATACTTTGCTGGACTTTTGAGATCCGGAAGTTCTGAATGGCAGATTTGCACGGTGTCAGCATTTGACTCGGGTTAGGTGGAGCCCTATTGTGTCAGAGGTTACAGGAAACAGGAAGTGGATA